TATAGGCTATACATGTGTTATATTATACATATTTACTCATTAGTCATTTTGTGAAAGAAGAATCAGAACAAATGGAAAAAACCATGAGAAAGAAAAAACCAAAAAATTGAAAATAGTATGCTTCGATCTACATTGAGATTCCATAGTTCTTTCTCTGGATGTGGACAGCATTTTCCATCACTAGTCTTTTGAAATTGTCTTGGATCATTGTATTGCTGAGAAGAGTTAAGTCTGTCATAGTCTCTTCATCATTTCTTGTACCTTGGAGTAATACTCCATTACTTTCATATTGCGTACATACTTGTTCAGCCATTCCTCAGCTGATGGCATCTGTTCAGTTTCCAGTTCTTTGCCATTGCGAAAAGAACTGCTATAAAATTTTTGTACCTAGTTCACCTTCCTTTGTGAATTTTTCTCCTTATTTCTTTTCTCTGCTATCTGTTCTAAGCTTTTCCTGGAGCTAATCACCTCTATGTTTATAGCAGATATCCTGGTCTCCTCCTCCATGAAGGTAACTGAGGCCATCTCCCCATACTTTTCAGTTTCAACGGGAGAAGTTTTCCTCTTCCTGGTTAAGATTAATTCTCATGATCCCATCTCTTGACCCCTTCAGGACCTTTCTGAATGAATGAAAAAAGTATTTATTAAGATTTACTATGTGTGAAGCACTGGGCTAAGTGTATTGCTAGGGATGAAAAGATGGACCCTGTTCTCAAGGAGCATACATTCTAGCAGGAAGAGACAATACATTTTTTGCGAGTGTGGGGAGTTGTGCTAAGGAGTAATATTTTTCTTCGGAAATTTACAGGAATATAAAGAAGAGCCATACCCTTTCCAGGATCAATTACAGAGTTAAATTGGTTGTAGTTTCTGATGGGAGGTCTTTCCTGCTTCCTAAATGCCTTCCTTCTACTGTTTCCTTTCTATTTGTGTACAAACATGCATATCTTGAATTCTTTTTTTTTTATTAATTTATTTTGATTTATCAACAATCATTTCCATAGGCTTTTAGGTTTTCTGAATTTCTGAATTCTTTAAAAAAAAAAAAAAGCCTTTCTTTGGCTCCTCTCCCCCATTTAGTGACTGTCTCATCTCTCTCCTTGCAAATATAGTCTGAGTTTTATATTTCTGCTTTTTAAACATCCGTTCTTCTTAACATTGATAAGCTGTAGAGCATCCATTCCCATAATTCTTTGTATTCGTACTTATAACTTCTTGTTATTCAGTCGTTTCAGTAGTGTCCAATAGTGTCCAACTCTTTGTGACCCCACTTGGGATTTTCTTGGCAAAGATACTGGAGTGGTTTGCCATTTCCTTCTCTAGCTCATTTTACAGATGAGGAAATTGAGGCAAACAGGGTTAAGTGACATGCCCAGGGTCACACAGCTAGGAAGTGTCTGAGATCAGATTTAAACTTAGGAAGGTAGTCTTCCTGATCAGGCCTAGAACTCTGTCAAACTGTGCCACGTAGCTGTAATTTTTCAGAGGGCAGTAATGTGATGTGCAAGAACCAGTTTGTTTAGCTGTTTCCCAGTCAGTGTGTGTACTTTGTTTTCAGTTCTTTGCAAAAAAGTGCTGCTATAAATACTTTGGTATTGAACCTTTCTTTCTCTGACCTTCAGATAAATACCTAAAATACCTAGCAGCGAGGTCTCTGGGTCAAAAGGGACAAAAGGGACAAACATACTAGTTACTTTTTTTTTTTTTTTTTGGCTAGACAGTGGAGTTAAGTGACTTGCCCAGGGTCAGTCACATAGCTAGTGTCAAGTGTCTGAGACTGGATTTTGAAGTAAGGCCTCCTGACTCCAGGGGTAGTGCTTTATCCACTGTGCCACCTAGCTGCCTCCTCTAGTTACTTTTTTAAAGCATAATTCCAAATTGCTTTCCAGAATGATTGGACTAATTAATAATAATGTATTAGTGGACTTATCTTTTTGCAGTTCTTCCAACACTGACTATTCCCATCTTTTGTTATTTTTGCCAGTTTGCTGATTTAAGTGCAACCTTAGAGTTGTTTTGATTGGCATCTCTCTCTTTTTTTTAAAGAATGTTTTTATTTTTTCTGAATTACATGTAAAAACTATTTTTAACATTTTTTACAAAATTTTTTTGAATTCCAGTCTCCCTCCCTTCTTTCCTCCTCTCACCTTTCCTTAAGAAGGTACTAGATTATACTAGTACCATATCTCTTACTGATAGGTGGCACGGTGGATAGAGTGGTGGGACTGATCAGGAAGACTCATCTTCCTGAGTTTAAATCTGACCTCAGACACTCACTAGCTGGGTGACCCTGGGCAAGTCACTTAACCCTATTTGCCTCAGTTTCCTCATTTTGTAAAATGAGCTGGAGGAGGAAATGGCAAAGCACTCCAGTCTCTTTGCCAAGAAAACCCCAAATGGGGTCATGAAGAGTCGGACATGACTGAATGATACCACCTATTTCTCCACAACCCTACATCATTAAATTTGGTTATTGTGTAAGATCTTCTGGTTCTGCTCACATCACTGCATCATTTCATGTAAGTCTCCCTAGATTTCTCTGAAACTTTCCCCTTCATCATTTCTCACAGTCTTAATAGTAGTTAATAATATTCCATTATATTCACATGCCATAATTTGTTTAGCTATTCTCCAGTTGATGGGTACCTCCTTGTTTCCAGTTCTTTGCCACAGCAAAAAGGAGCTGCTCTATAAATATTTTTGTACATATGAATAATTTTCTTTTTTTTTTTTTAATTTTCCTTGCATTTAGTAATGGTATTATTGAATCAAAGTATATTGTTTTTAGTAATTTTTCAAGCATAGTTCAAAATTGCTTCTAATCTTTGTCACATTCTTCTAGTTCTAGACTTTGGTAATCGTTATCTTCTTGACTCCTGAATTGTTTGGTTCTGGGTAGGAACCCTTGTCTTTGGTGAACTGAAGTGCAGAGAAGCATTCCTCAAGACTTTTACTTTTTCAGTAGAAAGATTAGGTAGCATTTGTCATACATAAAACTGGAAATCGCTTCTTACAAGATTTTAGGCCTAGGTGAAGGGACTGATATTGATAATCTCGTCTAACTCTAGGTCCAGCCATTTGGTTTACTCTCTAGATCGTGCAAGGAGTTAATGGCAGTGTTGGGACTGGAGTCCAGGTCTTCTGTTTTTCTTTGCGCCGTACTACACTGCTTATTGATTTTCTTTTCTTTATTTTTCTTTTTTTTTTAATTTAGTTTTTTTTAACCAAATTCTCTTCTTTTCTTCTATCCCTCTCTCACTCATTGAGAAGTCAAGAAAAACAAAACCCATTATAAATGTGCATGGCGATGCAAAGTGAATTCCTGCATTAGCTATATCCAAAAAAAAAAAAGGATAAAGAAGAAAATATCCTTCATTCTGCTCCTTCAAGTCTATTACTTCCCTCTCTGGAGATGGGCAGCCTCCAGGAGCGAATACACATGTTCTGTGGCCTCATGCCTGTTCCAGGAACAAGATATGATACTCCACATCTTGGCTCCAAGCAATCTCTGACTGTTCCCCTTGCCTGGAATTCTCTCTCTCCTCTGCTCAGACTACTGACCACTGACTTCCTTCAGAAATCCCATTTTTTACTAGAAGCCTTCCCCATCCCCTCTTAATTCTAGCACCTTTTTTCTGTTAATTATTTCCTATTTATCCTCTATATAGCTTACTTTATAGATTGTAAGCTCTTTGAGGGCAGGGACTATCTTTTGCCTCTTTTTGTGTTTCTGGAGCTCAACATAGTGCGTGGAATAGAGTAGGTGTATAATAAATATTTATTGATTGGTTGATTGATAAATAACTTACAGTCTTAAAGATTTGCCTGAGGATATCGAGAAGTTAAATGACTCATCCATGGTCACACTGCTGGTAGTTACCAGAGGGAGTACTTGAGTTATGGGTCCTGACTCTTAAGGCTGTCCTTTCCATTGTGCCATGCTGCCTCTCGTCTTGAAATAGAAATACTGTATCGAAGGTCACTCTTACGTAAACTTAGGAAAACGTTTGCTATATTAAGCAGTTACGGTGGTTTTGTGTGGTTTTATTTTGTTGTAAAAAGCTTCAGTCGTCTTTACATAGTTGAGAGTAAAGTTAATCTGGTTTGTACTCTCAGCTTTAGCTGGTGACAACCTCTGTGAGTTTGTTTTCTAATCTATAAAATCTTGGAGCAGGCCGAGGTGATTTTTAAGTGCTCCTTTCAACTTTGATGTGTGTGAATCTGTGCCCTGTATGTAGTGGGCAGTCCGTGATCATTGAAGAAGTGAATGATTTGGAATGAATGAAACTGAACTCAGCTTAAATTTTATATGCCGGAGATATGTATATATTTTTATAGTGTTTTATTTTTATTCCAATTACATGTAAAGATAGTTTTCAACATTCACTTTTATAAAATTTTGAGGTCCAGATTCTTTTCTCCCTTCCTCCACTTCTCCCCTCCCTAAGATGGCATGCAATCTGATATAGGTTATATGTATGTAATCATATTAAACACGTTTCCACATTAGTCATGTTGTGAAAGAAAAATCAGAACAAAAGGGAAAAATCACTAGAAAGGAAAAAAAGAGAGAAAATAGTCTGCTTCTATCTGCATTTAGACTCCATAGGTCTTTCTCCAGATGTGGATAGCATTTTCCATCATGAGTCTTTTGGAACTGTGATAGATCATTGTATTTCTGATAAGAGCTAAGTCTGTTATAGTTGATCATCATACAGTATTGCTGTTACTGTGTACAGTGTTTTCCTGGTTCTGCTTACTTCAGTCAGCATTAGTTCATGTAAGTCTTTTCAGGTTAGAAAGAAAATATCTTAAAGTTATGACTTGTCTTGATAATAGATAAAAGGAACCATAATTAATTTACTGATTATTACTTTATGTAACAATACCTGATGGTAGCAGATAGAAGTTAATAACATTCCAAAATGATAAAACATTACAATCAGCAGACAAAAAAGGCATATTTTCAACTTATGTCATTTTTGTAATCTTGTCCTTAGGTAAACTATCAATGGATGTTATTTTGGCCAGATTGAAAGCTCTGAATCCAGATGATCTTAGAGAAGAAATTGTCAAAGCAGGACTCAAATGTGGGCCTATTACATCAACAACGAGATTCATTTTTGAAAAAAAACTGGCTCAGGCTTTGCTGGAACAACAAAAAGGAGCTGAAGAAGTTTTTTTATCTCCTCCAGATCAAGCTTCAGAAAATGCTGCTGTTAATCAAACAACAAAACAGACTTTGAAGTCTACTGTGCTGAACCCAGCAAAGCATACCAGTTTATCTGAAGACAGAGATTTTGGTTATAATATGGGTTTGAATCCTCCAGAAGAGGATGCTTTAATTCATAAGATCTGTTCTGTACCACTTGCTGCAATGGCTGACGCTGACTCACAGAAAGACATCTCAGTTCCATCCAAAGATCCTCCTCTGTACTACGGAGTATGTCCAGTTTATGATGACATCCTAGCAAAAAATGGTAATTTTAAAGTATTTCTGTTTCAATAACCAAAATAACCTTTTCCTTTTGTGGGATCTTTTGATGTGTGGTTTCCTCTTGAGTTACTTTTATTTTCCTAAAAGTACAGTACTGTACAGTGGATAAATAATTAGTAAAAGATTACTGAAAAGATAAAATAGGAAATCTAGATTTTTTTATTTTTTAGATTTTTTTATTTAGGATAAATCAATGTGTAATGAATCCATTATTTCAGCATTTTACAGTTACAACCCTTTTCTGTCATAATTGAATATTAGTTGATGGGAGTAAAATTGGATACAGAATTAAACTAATCATTATGACAAGATAAATAACTTGCTTACATTAGGAAATACTTTGAAATCCTGTATGGTTATTTCTCCAGTAAACTTTGAACCTTAAAATTGGGTTACTTAAAAGACCACCCAGGAAAGAATACAGGAAAGTCCCATTATAATCAGCTCTTTGAGAAATCCCAGTTATTTTGTTGAGAAGTTTTGCCATGACTTAATTGTACAGGTGATGCAGCTGATAACTGGCCTCTGGGGGCAGCATGGACTGGTTGAAAGAAGGCTGAAAGTTTAAATCCTGGCTCTGCTGCCTCCGCCCTGTAGGACCTCTTTGGGCAGATCACAGAACCACTCTGGTCCTTATTGCTTCATCTGTAAAACAAAGAGGGTAGACCAGATGACCTTGAAGGACTTTGCCAGCTCTAAATCTGTGAGCCTATAAGCTTTCTTACTCTCATGTTCAAAACACTTCTCTTAACAAACTATGAGAAGCAATTTGAACATGAGGACAAAATGAAGAGAGGTATAAGAGAATACATTCATCCCTTCTCCTTTCTTCCATTAAGCTCTTAGGTCTTTTTTGAATCATGTTTTGGTGGTTTTTCTGGGGATGTTAAAAGTGGGAAGGCATGACTGATAAGAGGAGGAAAAGAAAGGGAGTATTTCTTAATCCACCCCGAGGGCAAACACACATTTTACAGTAAAGAATAGCACAATGCCTGTCATATAGAACATTGATTGTTAACACCAACAAATGGGATATATTTTTTTTTTGAGGCAGTGGGGGTTACATGACTTGCCCAGGGTCACACTGCTAAGCTAGTAAGTATCTGAGGCCAGATTTGAACTCAGGTCCTCCTCACTCTGCTCTATTCACCTAGCTACCTAAACAAGAGATATTTCTAAAAAAAAAAAAAATTAAACTTGACTTTTTTGGCAAAGCCTGGAGGAGACATTAGTTGTACTATGTCTTTTTAGAAAAATTGATGTGTAGCCAAATTAATACTGTTGTATAATGCACCAAGTATTAGATTATGTACCATATTTTATTATGGAAAATTTTGTAATGGTATTCACTAATTTCTTTCTTTCTAATGCTTGGATTCACTCCTCTTTCCATACTCACTTCCACCACCTTAGGCCTACTCTTTCTAATAAATTTTTGTCATCGTATGATTCCCCTGCTCATGAATCTACAATAGTTTTCAAGTTCAGACTTCTTTGTCTAGTTTCCCAGGCCCGCTGTAACCAGATTTCTGTCTATGTAGCCATATTTATTTCCTACTTCTCCCTAACATTCATCCTTTGTTCCTATCAAGTTCAGCTCCAAATTTACCATATTTATTTGTACTTTTGGTTTTTTAAAAAATATATTTAATTTTTCCTTCAAAACATTTTAAAACAATTTTTAACATTCATTTTTAAAAAATTTTGAGTTGCAAATTTTCTTCCTCCTTCCCTCTCTTACCCCCTCCCTGAGATGGTGGGCAATTTGATATAGGTTATACAATCATGAAAACATATTTCCATGTTAGTTGTGTTGTACAAGAAAACGCACACCAAAAAAAAAAGCATGAAAAAAAATAAAGAATCCACTTTTGTTATTTTCACTAATATTGTTCCTAGTATTTGGAGTTCATTCCCCAATCCCATCCATCTTTCAAGCCCCTCCAGCCCAAGTTCTGCCTCTACTCCATCTACTTCTGCTACCCTATTCTCATTTCTTTCAACTACTCTGATCTCTTCCTCCACACTCCCCACCACTTTGAAGAATAGCTCCATAGTGCTATCATCCATGTAATCATACGTATTCCGAGAACTGAGGCAGTAGGATAAAAGGCCTTGGTTTTATCAAAGATGGGATCAGATGGTGAAATTGTACAGTCTTTCATTTTAGGACTAAGTACTAAGATATATTTATAATATTGATAAATAATAATGGTATTCATTATAAATCCCTTCTCTAAAATGCCTTTGGATTCACCCCTTCTTTTCATCCTAATGCCACCAACTTGGACAAGTCCAACAAGTTCTCCTCATATCGTCTTCTCCTGAAAGGGAGACATTCTGTGTGGGTATAGCAACTCAAGTTTACTTATCTTCTGTACCTATGAAAACAAAACAAATAGCAGGGCCTTAGTAGGTCTTTGATGAAGTAAAATGTGTCATCTAATGCCACTGTGGGTCTTGTAAGAATCAAGGCAATGGGACCATGAGTAGGATTGAAGAGTCACAGGCATTGAATCTCATAGGATCAAAACCTTAGACCTATTGGGGATCTCAGACATTATCTTGTCCAGTCTTTTCATTTTATAGAGAAGGAACTGAGACCTAGAGATGTTTAGTCTCTTGCCCAAGATCTCATAAGTAGCATGTAGTGTGCAGTTGGTATTTTGTTTTATCTAGGGCCTTTTTTCTTGCCTAGGAAAAAATGAAATTTTAGAGGAAAACTGGGAGGCTAATTTTAAGATAAATTTTATTTAAAACAGAGGAGTGGTAAGAAGTGAAGTAGGTTGTCAGATTGTGGTTTTTCCTGTTGAAGTTCATGTTTTCTTATCTAGACAGGATTCATGTTTATGAGGACAAGAAGGAAGCTTTGCAGGCTGTCAAAATGATCAAAGGGTCTCGATTTAAAGCATTCTCAAACAGAGAAGATGCTGAGAAGTTTGCTAAAGGAATCTGTGATTATTTTCCATCCCCAAGCAAAACTTGCTTTCCTCTCTCTCCAGTGAAAACAGTACCATTTTTTAATCAAGGTAGGTAAAACCTTTGCTATTTGTCTTTCAAAATCCTGACTTTTACTCGGAAATATTTGGGATTCTTTTTCCTGATACATTGTAATGATTTTCCATATCTCAATAAGTAGGTGTCCTGGTCAACAGCCATATTCTTTGGGGCTAAGCAGGGTGATTTTTAATCCCAAGGGCTGTAGTGGAAGGGTAAGTTAGGTTCTGTAGTCCTACCTGAAACCATCCATGCCCTAGTAATCTGATTGCTCTGATCATAAAAGGAGATCCATTTCCCTTCTAATCCTCCATACTTGCTGTATTACCCTTTTGGAGAAGTGGCCCCCATCCCTTTATTTGCATGTCATCTTCTGCCATGAGCTGGGCCCATTGTGGAGTGGGATGGAAGGGCTTAGAGGTCTGGTCTGAAGGGTGGCTTCTACATAAGACAGACAAGGTATACATAAAAACATTTTATGTCATGGGTAGTTGCACACATAATGCATAGAGGAGGCAGTGGTTAGTTGTTAATATTTATTATGGAATTTCCTCCCCAAATTGGAAATTAAGTCCAAAGAGACTATTTTGGAACATTCTGAATTTTGCCTTTTGACGACAGATGGTTTATGCTCACCTGAGTCAGAATCAGTTAACAAAGAGCGAGCAAACAGTTTTAAAAGTCCTCGTACACAAGACCTGACTGCCAGACTCCGAAAAGCTGTGGAGAAGGGTGATGAAGCTATGTTTTCAGAACTTATCTGGAATAACCCACGCTATCTAATTGGTTCTGGAGACAACCCAACAGTAGTACAGGTGAGCCTGTTTTCATCATGGACATCATCAAATAAACCATTAACACACCAAATATAAAAGTGATCTCTTATCACCTGTTTGGTAATGAGAACAGGTGCGTTTACAGTGAAATGGGGGTACTTGTTTTAAGTTTCAGATGACATATAATGTGCAGTTTTGTTTCAGGAAGGATGTAGGTACAATGTCATGCATGTGGCCACCAAAGAGAATCAGGCTCGTATCTGCCAATTGATTTTAGACACTTTGGAAAATCCTGAATTTATGCGACTTATGTACCCGGATGATGATGAGGTCATGTTGCAGGAGCGTATTCGATATATTGTTGACCTTTATCTTAACACTCCTGATAAAATGGTGAGTTTGCCCTTTCTTTTTTCCAGTTATCTTTTATAAAATAAAAACTAGTCTTGTCTCTAGCAGGGCCTCTTAAACTTTTTCTACTAGCAACTCCTTCAGCGCTTCTTAAACCTGTAGGGGTTTGGGACCCACCGTTTACATAGGAAAATATTGAGTGCCCATTACTGATTGTTAGATATTTATTGTGTGTCTGTTCTGTTTCCCCATACTGTGAGGTGGTTGATGAACAAGATAAGATACAATCTCTGTCCTTAAGGATTTTCTAGCACAGTTGGGAAGAAAGGACATATACACCTGAAAATATGACTGATAAGTACCAGATCAATGGAGAGCTTAGAGTAGGGTAGCTTCACTTGGGAAGGAGGTCTTTAGGAACATAGTACTTTGTTCTTCTTTATAAGACTTAGAAATGAATGAAAGGTCAGGGTCTTACACAAATAAAGCTTTAAATGTGATGGTGATATAACATTCCCCCACAAAACTTCCCAGCAAGAGCGGCATCTTCCGTTTTGTAACTGCAGGGCTCATTCCCCACAAAGTTTGTCTTCATTTCAGTTGATTTCAGCAAGGGATAGGTTATTAAGGCTTATGTTTGCTTTGGGATAATATAAAAAAAATTCCTGTCTGAAGTTTTCTAGTAAAGTTCTCTTGTTGTTGCATCTCTTAAAGGTGGAGGGGATTATTAGCAGGAAAAGAACCATACATGCCAGCAATCTTTTGCACAGTTTTAGACTACTAAACTATATCTCTTCTTTACAGTTATCCATCGGTAAACTTTGTTTCTTGAATTCACACAGTACTTTAGTTTATCAATTGATCAGCTAATATTTATTGAGTAACCATTGTGTTAAATTGCCAGGGGAGAGGCAGCAGCACATGTGTTTTATGGCATTTTAATATTATGTTATTTTATTTTTAAGCAACTCTGTGAGACAGTTAATATGTAAGTGGAAATGCTAAAGTGTGAATTTGCCTTTATTTTAGGGAAATGATACTCCTTTGCATTTTGCTTGCAAATTTGGTAACGCAGACGTGGTCAATGTACTTTCTTCACACCCTGGTGTTATAAAAAATCCTAGAAACAGATATTTACAAACTCCTGAAGATGTAAGTTAATTATTAAATTTAATAATTAGTTGCAATATTATTTATTTGTGAACCTGACCATGAACTGTTTTTGGTATGTGAAACTTTTGCTTATTGGTCCAGTAGCACATACACAAGGCATTTTCCATTCATGGTAATTGATGGCACTGAGGTGCCCATATTCTTATCATATTAGGTTCTGCAAACACTGATTAAGCTCTCCTGTGTTCAGGGTGCTTATCAAGGTGATGTGGGTACAGAAACAAAAAGTAGCCTCTTCTCTCTCTGGCATTCAGTCAGCGTTTATTAAGCACCTACTCTGTGCTAAGGCTGGGGATGCAAAGAAATGGAAAAAACAGTCTCTCCTCTCAGGGAGCTCACTCTCTGATGGGGGAGACAACAAGCAAACAACTCTACACAAACATATCTATGTACAGATCAAATTGTGGGTAATATTGTGTATGTGTGCATTATATATGTGGAATGACTCGTGCTGCTTTGCATCTGCAGCCCTACTTGGTTTCAACTCCATGGGACAACATGTCCCTTCCAGGATGAGCTCATCACTTCTAAACTTTAACAGCATGCTGCTGAATCAACCATCACCCTCCTTAGCCACCTTTCTCCTCTGATTGGAGAGCTGGAAGAGAAGTACCACCCTCCTCCCAGTACCTTTCTTTGTTAAGGGCAGAAACTGGACTCATACCTCACTCCATTTTGCATCTGCTGTTCTGCCTGGTTTTGATTCCAGGGAACAACATACCTCCTCTGGTATCTCTTCCCCCTCCCCCAGATAGCTCCGGAGGAGAAAGTGAGGCTAGTGACTCTGCACAGCCCTCCCTCACTGTAATCCAATTCACTTGCATGTCATGGCATCACCTCCCTGATGTCATGGTCCTCTTCACAAAGGAAGGACCAGCAGCAATGTCTAGTGTCTAAGCATTCTTTTTCAATGGAAATATCTATGCTGTAAGGGAGACTTGTGTCATCTAAAAAAGCCTTGGCCAGAATAAAAGAGGAAGAGAGCAACTCAGATTGCCTTCCAGAAATTGCAGTTTTTTTGGTGACCTTTTCTTCCAGAACCAAAGAACCCCTTTTTTAATACCAGTATTCTGCCAGTGTTGATGTATGGCTGCAAGACATGGAATACAATAGTCTCCAAAGCCTGGAAAACAAATGTCACACAGAGGGCAATAGATAGAGTAGAAAAGTGGGGACCAGCTGCCCCACAGAACAGACTAGACTAAAAAAGTATTAGAGCAGTGTGACTGGAAGCTAGATTGGTCATGTAGTAAGGATGGCATGTGCATGGTCCAAGCGTTCCACCTGTGTCTTCATGGGGTCAGGAGAAAGAGAAGAAAGCCTCTCACCTGTTGGTATCACCCTCTGGCAAACTTCTTCATCACTCCCAAGTCCAGTGCTCTACACACTCTGCAACCTCAGACACTTCCTAGTTGTGTGACCTTGGGCAAGTCACCTCACTGCTGTATATCTCAGTTTCCTCCTTTGTATAATGGGGGTAATAATAGCACTCGGCTCCCAGGGTTATTGTGAGGATCAAGTGAGAAATCATTTTTGTAAAGTGTTTTACAAACCTTAAGGCACTATGTAAACACTAGCAGTGCTGACAGATGCAGGAAAGAGTCTTTCCATATTTGGGTGGGGTTGTGAGAAGGGGAATGAGTAAAGGTTTGAGGAAAAGAGATAGGATTTGGTCTGGGCCTGAAGGATTGGTAAAGATATACTTAGGGAAGACATGTTTGAAAATCCTGAAATAAGTTTCTTTATGTCTATTAACAAAATACAGTGCCAGAATTATCAATCTTTTTTCTTTCCATAGCAATTTCATGGTCCAAAAGAAGAATCAACAGAATTTAAGATATTGTTTATTTCCTTATCTCTCAATAGGTAATTTGTGAAAGAAGTAAAAATAAATCTGCAGAATTGAAGGAGCGAATCAGAGAATATTTAAAAGGTGGGTACTTGAAACATGGAGTAGAAATCAGAGCGTTTGAGGGAACTTGCATCAAGACCCCTGCTTTCAAGCTGGTGAATGCCACAGACAGGAGTCATAGCACGTCAGAGCTAGAAGGAGCTTTGGAGACGATCCAGTGTAACTTCAGTTCACAGGTGGTGAAACTGACTCCTCCAGAAGTTAAGTGGCATCCCCAAGTCCCCCTCTCATCCTTGCCGCCTAGTCCGCTATTCTGATAAGACCATATGATTCCAGACAGACTGTAGAGGTAGGATCGGAAGTTATCTGCACAGGAAGTAGTGTTGGGGAGGAGGGTGGGATCACCCTGGGAAGAGTGCGAGGAAGAGGGCGGTCAGAGACTGCTCCACAGGTCTCTTGCCCTGAAAGGGAAGATTGTTGGGTTATGGGGAGTCATGAAGGAAGAGAGGGTGAGAGACATTGGCATGTTCTAAGGGAAGGCAGGGGAAGAAAACATAAGGAAGGAGATGTTACTATGTAGCATAGCAGTCAAAGAAGATGAGGACTGAAAAAAGGGCCATTGGATTTGATGAAGGTCATTAGTGACCTCTGCCTCTGTTTCTCCAACTGTAAAATAGGGATAATAATAGCATCTTCCCCTCCCAGGGTAGTTGTGAGGATTAGATGAGAAAATATTTGCAAAGTGCTTAGACCAGCTCCTGGCACATAGTAGGTACTTAATAAATGTTTACTTACTGACTGACTTGTTCAGGGTCTTGCAGCTAGTAAATGCTTGAAGCAGGATTTGAACTTGGATCTTTCTGATTCCACATCCAGCCCTTTATCTACCAAGCTCCCTAGATATGAGCTGTGACTTCTCTGGAATTTCACTGATGTGCTGCAAATTGCTTCTCTTTCACATCTCATTAAATGGTTTTATGAGTTAGCTGTGGTCAGAATTTAAACACCCAATGGCGTGGCGATAAGCGTCTTTTGTCTTGTTTGTAGAAAAGACATCGTATACTGACCTGTTGCTGAGTCCATACTTGAAACCCTTCCAGTTTGATAGCGCTTATCCCAGAGCTGGCACTATGCTGGCATGCCCTTCTAGACCTAGGGCTTACCTTGGTGGCCTGAGAAGTCAGCAGAGGACAGCGTAAGGGGAGAATCAGTAAGAGAACACCTCCCCTCCACCCCCCCAAAAAAAACACGGGGTGGGAGGGGGCCACACAGCCCTTATTTAAGATTGTTTTTATTCCTAATGCCTTAGTAGTAACTATGGTTTTTCTTCAGTAACTGCCTGTTCCTTAGATGATACCTGGGCAGCCTTTTTCATAGGTGAACTCTCACCCACAAGTCTAAATTTGCCCAAGTCCTAACTCAGACTTGGGAGGTCATTTGGAATAACAGGAGTCCGGTAAAGGGAGATGTATATCTCAACATAAGACAGTAAAACAAACCACCTTATTGAAGGGAGATATGAAATGAAGGGCAACTGGGAAAATGCGTGGAAGTTGGTCCACTGGGCTTCCAGGCAGAGTTGGGTCCCCTCCTGGGGCCCCAGGGGAAATGGGACACCCTTTTTCCTATACCAGTCAAATCTGGGTTTTTATAGGGTTTTTTTCTGAGTCCAACAGGATCAGATATTGGGGAAAGGGAATGAGGAGCCTGGACCTGGAGACTCATGCTGATTCATGCCAGTTGAGGAGAGGGAAGATACAAGTAAAATGCAAAAAGATTCCAATTGAAAGGGAACAATGAATATGGTTTTAATTCTGTTTGTAATTGCTTTTTAATTAGTCATGAGATCATGAAAATGGAGTTTTGAATTGAGTAGTTTTTATAATGGAAAAATATTTGTTAGATTATATTCATTGCTTATCATATATGATACTCATATATGATAGCTTGAACTAATCAGAAAAGTAGTATAACACTGTATCCTGAATTTTAAGTGAAAATGTACTCTTTTTTCTTCAGGTCATTATTATGTGCCACTCTTGAGGGCAGAAGACAATTCTTCTCCTGTGATTGGTGACATATGGACTTCAGATCAGGCAGACGGGCGTCCTCCCATATCAACACCCCGATTTGGGAGCAGCCCAAAAGATCCTGTTTTGAGTGTGAGAGCTTTTGCAGGGCCATTAAGCCCATCCAAGGTGGGTGATCATGGAAGCATCTTCAAGTAGAGCTTCACTCCTATAGACCAAGCATGTATTTTGATAACTGAGTTACTAGTTTTGTATCTAGTTGGGGAGATCCTGATCCCATGGAAAGCTCTAAAATTTTCTAGATTGTGATTAAAAGTAATGGCTTCATCTCTCTAATTAAGCAGCTAATAGGAGGATGATATTGGGCCACTGGAAATATTTTACTTTGTTCCTCTAGGAATGAGTCACTTGGTTGCTGTGTATTTCTTTCTCTGGGGAAGAGGGATTCTTAGGAAATTATACTTGAGTGACTTGGCTAGGATGATGATGTTAACTAATCAAGGCCAGAGTGAGGTTAAAAATTTAGGAAGAGCCCCTCCCCAGTTAGATCAGGGTCATAATTTGTAGATGTTCCTTAGAACAGCAAGTGTCTTTGTGGGGTTGTATCCTTCTTTCTAGCCAGGGGGATTCATCATGTCCATGTTTAGAACCTGGAATTTTTTACCGTATTGAAATTGATAAATTTTCCCATGCCTACTGAGTCTGTAACATTTTCTGTAGAAAACAGTTGTATTCTTAAGTTTTCTTGGCTTAGTAAACAACAGATAATATTTATCATAATATTTGAATTTTTCTCTTCTTAGGCGGAAGATTTTCGCAGACTTTGGAAGACTCCACCTCGAGAGAGAGCTGACTTCTTTCATAATGTCAGGAAATCTGATCCAGAAAGAGGTGTTGAAAGAGTAGGAAGGTATACAGGGGGCTGTGCTAAAAGTAATTAAGTATGAAAGTTTAGCAGTAATGTTGATAAATGAGTTGTAGCATTTTTTAATTTTATTTTATTTTGGCTAGGCAAATTAAGTGGCTTGCCCAGAGTCACACAGCTAGTGAATGTTATGTGTCTGAGGCCGGATTTGTACTCAGATCCTCCTGACTCCAGAGCTGGTGCTCTATCCACTGTGCTACCTAGCTGCTCCCGTATTTTTTTATTTTAGCAAGAATTACTATAGTCGGGTTAAAGTAATTTGTCATCTGAAGAATTTTGCTTTTTATACTGTGATACAAAATTTTCAGTTATCTTTTCCCTGTTTTTTTAGTTGCATAATAGTGATGGAAGTTTTTGTTATTACTCAGTTATATTCTACTCTTTGTGACCCTATTTGGGGTTTTCTTGGTTAAAATACTGGAGTGGTTTGCCATTTCCTTCTCCAACTCATTTTACAGATGAGGAAACTGAGTTAAATGACTTGCCCAGGGTTACACAGCTAGTAAGTGTCTGAGGCCGGATTTGAACTCCAGAAGATGAGTCTTCCTGACTCCAGGCCTGGTGCTCTATCTACCGTGCCACCTAGCTGTCCTTGATGGAAATTAAGAAGCCTTGAGAATATATTATAATTGAATGTGTGTTCAATTTTGTTAAAAATTTTTATTTTCTTTTAAAATATTAAATTATGATTTTTAAGTTTCATTGGACCCATATTAACTTGTAGTATAAATGTCTTGCAATTCTCTAGAATAAGTTGATTTATTTTGCTGCACAGACCATGATTTGAGTAGGGTGGCTGTTCTGTCTGTCAGTGCAGAGCATCGCTCATGGCTTTTCCTTATTCCGCCATAGAGGATCCACTTAATGTGCTAGAGGTCTGCCTTTGGTTCTTTTCCTATCTTGGGGAGGGTACCCCTGTAATACTTGGGGTATCTCCTCTGTTGTTGTTGCTTTTTGCTACATGACCAGCCCACCTCCTTTTTTGTTTAGACACATACTGGGCAATATTTCATGATGTACTTCATCAACCTTTTAGTACCACAGGTGATTAATTTAACTTTTCTTTTTTTAATTTGAACTTAATAGTCATTAACAATCATGGACATTTCAATGTATAAAGAAAAACAAGAAAATAATTGTTGAGTATCCAACATGTTATGTATAGGTTCTAAAAAAGTTCTATATTTAGATATTATATGCATATATTAAATTATTAAATATTAATATTAAATTAATTAAATATATAAATATTCTATAGGTTCTATATTTATATATTACATTTTAAAAGATAGAAAAAAACAGCTATTGAGTAACTGCTGCCAAAAGGCAGATAGACACAGGAGCTTTGGGAATTGGTAGAACCTTCTGGGTTTCTCTCCCCACCCCCAGCCAGCCCTGCTTTCATCTCAGCCTTCACAGCCTTCATCTAGGGATGTGGCTCCTGTGAAGAGGGACCCGCCTTTCCATCACCTGTTAAACACTGGCCACACATAGTAGTTGAGTCAGCCTTACTGAAGCAACCAGACCCCTGAGGGAGAGACAGGAGGCACCTGATGGGGACACCCCAGAGCCCTGAGCCCACGAGTCCTGGGAAGATCAAAGGGTGAGGTCAGGGCCTTCAGCCATCCTCCTGCAGGAGCCACAGACACAGCTCCTAATGACTCAGAAAGTTCTTGTCGCCAAAGTTCTTGGAACTGTCACATGTTTCAGCATCAGAAATTGATATCATCTTATCAGTGGGGTTGACATTAAAGAGGAGGCATTAACCATCTGCTTTGCTACTGTGCCTTATGGACCATGGAACCTTTCTCTCTGACTTGCAGCTGAAACCTCCATCCATGCGTGATGTTTCCACCATTAGAAGGAAAGCTCCTTAAGAGCAGGGACTGACTGACTTTTCTGTTTGTATCCGCAATGCTTAGCCCAGTGTTTTGCATGAAGTAAGCAGTTAGTAGTTGCTTTCTTCATTCATCAAAAAAATTCTCTATTTGTATCCCCTGCTGTACTTTTTAGTTCTGGGCATTTAAAAAATGATGCTCTTTTTCATACCTAGTATTATTCCCTAACATATCATCCTACCCCCTAAATAGAAGGCTTTTTTTTATATGCATAATCAAAAACACAAAAAAATCAACACATTATCCATGTCTGAGAATGCTTGTTTGATTCTTTACCTATTGTGTCTGTCACCTCTTTGACAAGAAGCAGAAGGTGTGTTTCATCGTTGGTCTTTTGAAGTCTTGATTGATGGCTACATTAGTCAGAGTTCTGAGGTCTTTCTATTTCTAAGGCTATAAACTGCAGAAGTTGCCAGTGTGCATGCGTAGAAGCTGTTTGCTCTTTGGAGGTTGACTGCACCAATAAAGTCTCAGGATTGGACCAAAAGAAAATAGATTACCATGAAAATGGAGACAAATTCTGCTCCATGCTGCATCTTTTAAGTGTTATCAGTGTTCTTGGATCATTTGGCTGATTCTCATGCCAGCCTCTCTGGAAGATTATTTTCTCAGCTGCCCTTTGCTGTTTATGAGGTAATATTGCTCAGGCTTGATTCCTCCTCCTCCTTAATGTTTTGCAAGTGGCTTTGTACTCTTAAGGAGGCTGTATTTTCTAGTTCAGGGTGTTTATGATCTCTTTTGGCCTTGAATTGTAGAGTATTTCCTCTTTTTTAAAAACATTTTAATTAATATTATTTTTCACATCATTATAAAGACAAAAAGAAGAGGAAAATTAGCAAAATCGATCAGTGCATTGAAAAAGGCTGAAAATACATGTAATGTCCTATACTCATGGATCTCCCATCTCTGCAGAGATATCTGCACATCTCTTATCTCTTTTGAGCCATGCTAATTCTTTGTAATTTTACATTGACTTTTTTTTGGTAGTTCTTTCCCTTTTCGTTGCTGTAGTTATGGTGTATATTGTTTTCTTGGCTCTGCTTACTTTACTCTGCATCAGTTTGTATAGCTCTTCACATACTTCTCTGTATTTTTCACATTCGTTATGTCTAAAGCACAGTAATATTCCCTTACATTTGTGTACCACAATTTACTTAGCCACGTGCTATTCACTAGGTATACGTTTTGATTCCAATCCTTTGATGTCACAGAAAGTACTACTAAACTCTTGTAGAGGATATGGAGACTTTCTTCTTATCAGTGGCTTCCTTGGTGGTAGTAGAGTCGGGTCAAAAAGTAGGATGTTGTAGACACCCGATTTACAGAATTCCAGCTTGCTCTTCAATATGGTTGTATGGATTCACAGCTCCCCAAGCAGTGCACCATTGTGCTATCCTCTGACAGCCTGTTCAACATCAATTATTCCCATCTCTTTGCTAGTTTGCGGGGGTATGAAGCAAAGCCTCAAAGTTGTTTTGATTTCTCTTTTAGTAATTTATAACATTCTTTCCTGTGATTTTTAGTAGTATATCTTGACCATTTATTTATTGGGGAATAGACTTGGTCTCTATTATCTGTTGTTTTTAATTACTATTTTCTAATGATTAAGCTTCTCTGTGAAATTTCTTTTACCTCATTTTTTGGAGTTGACTGCAGCAACTTCAGCTTGACCTTTATCATCTCATTCTGTGTCTTCTCATTGATGTATTTTATTCTGTTTGATATTTTCTTTGACAGTTGCCTTATCTAATTAGTCAGCAACCTCATTGCTTATAGAAAGTTTACTGTACAATGAAGTAATTTCTTTCTGTTAAAATATAATCAGTTGCATTTTCATTATGTAGTTTAGTGCTCACTTTTTACTCTCTTCTTAAAGAAAACATTTATGGGGGCAGCTAGGGGGTGCAGTGGATAGAGTACCGGCCCTGAAGTCAGGAGAACCTGCGTTCAAATGTGGCCTCAGACCAAACACTTGACACTTGCTAGCCGTGTGACCCTATGCAAGTCACTTAACCCCAATTGCCTAAAAGTAAAAAAAAAAAAAAAAAAAAAAAGGCAAACATTATGTCTTGATCTTGAACCTTGTTTTCCCACATGGTTTTTGCTATCCTCTCTTTTTGTAATAAAATCATCTTATAGAAATTTTCCCTGACTTTATATTTGGCAGTGAATGTTGGCACAAAGGTACAATTATATTCACAGTGATCTCTGCTTATCGTCATCATGAGCATTGCCAGTTAAGATGACCAAGTGTGCCATGAATTTTTTTTTTTTTGCATTTTGGGTACTCGATGAAACCACCTCCACCAGTTCCATTATTCACCACTCTTGAGTACCTGTGGAGCTATCATTTACCTGCAGTTTAAAAATTTCTCCTTTTTATTGTAACAGTGATCACTTAATTACTAAATTAATGACCTTTTTTCAGTCCTTGTGCTTCTTGACCTCTCTGCAGTCTTAGCAGTTACTTTTAGCAATTACCCTCTTCTGCTGGTTGCTCTTTCTAGGTTTTTGTGATAATATCTCCCTCCCAGTTCTATTTCTCAGTCTCTTTTGCTGAGTCTTTCACCAGGTCATGTCCTGTCTCCCAGGGCTCTGTCCTTGCTTTTCTTTTTCCTTTATAATCTCATGATTAGTGATCAGCTTCCATGGAGTTTAATTATCTCAGATCTCTCTCTCTCTCTCTCTCTCTCTTCATATATATATATATATATATATATATATTCAGTCCCGGTCTCTCTTCTGAGCTCTAGTCCTGCATCACCAGCTGATTATTGGGCATCTTTGAGTAGATGGCCCATAGACATCTCAAACTTAGTGCACACAAATCAGAACTGGTTACCCCTGAGCCCTCTGCTCTTTCCAGTCTTCCTCTGACTGCTCCCAGTCACCCAGATTTAGAACCTCCATGTCATACTTGCACTCACTCCACATCTCTACTGTCACTTTTATTTCCACAACATCTCTCCTACATGTCGAGTTCTGTCCTCAGGCCTGGACAGTTGTCACTTGGTCTCTTTGTCTTGGTTTCTTCCCGCTCTAATCAGTCTTCTGCTCAGCTTGTAAAGAGCACGTCTGAGGAGCACGTAGGTGGCGCAATGGATAGAGTACCGGCCCTGAAGTCAGGAGGACCTGAGTTCAAATCCAGCCTCAGACCAAACACTTGACACTTACTAGCTGTGTGACCCTGGGCAAGTCACTTAACCCCAATTGCCTTTAAAAAAAAAAAAGAGCAGGGGCAGCTAGGTGGTGCAGTGGATAGAGCACCAGCCCTCGATTCAGAAGGACCTGAGTTTAAATCTGGCCTCAGGCACATAACACTTACTAACTGTGTGACCTTGGGCAAGTCACTTAACCCCATTGCCTAGCCAAAAAAAGGAAAGAAAAAAAAAAGCACATCTGACCTGCTCAGGTACTTCCAGCATCAAAAGTAAAATGCTCATTGACTTTTACAGCTCTTCACAACCTGCCTCTTTCCTGCCTTTCTAGACCTTTTATACTTTGCTGCCCTCTGTGTAGTCTATGATGTCACTGTACGGGCTTACTCTCTGTTCTTTACACACAACACTCTGCCTTATTCTGTGCATTTTCACTGGCTAGCTTTCATGCCTACAGTACTTTCCATCTTGAACTTGAGCTAGCTTTTCTGGTGTCCTTTGAGAATCAGCTCAAATCCTACTTTCTGTGAAAGGCCCTTCCTAACCTAGCAGCTCTCCACCCCCCTTGTGGGTGTGTCTTTCTTTGTCTCTCATCCTTTCCTTCCCTGTACTCTGTATGCATCTTGTATATACCTGGCTATTTACCCATTGTCAGCTCCATTCAAGTGTGACCTCCTTGAGGGCAAGGACCCTGTTTTTGCCTTTCTTTGTATCCTTCTTTGTATCCTTAGAACTTAGCACATACAGTGCCTGACATACTAGTAAGCACTTCAGAAATGCAACTGACCTGAGTGCCAACCTGGATCTTTTTAATTCTTTCAGTATTGTGTCACTCCATTTTTCATTGTCCGGAGATTTCATCTTGAGTACTGCTGTCAAATTAATACTTGTTGATGGTTTCTACACCATGTTCGCTGTTTCTTTTTCCTCTCTTCTGCTACTCTGCCCCCTTCTCTGGGAGTGAAGTTGAGAGACCTCACAGGACCAATCACTTCTATATTTTTGTCAGTTTCAGTAGGGTTCTTTAGACAAAAGGTGAGCAGTCTTCTGACAGTTAGCCTTTGTGGGCTCAGCTGGGCTGGTCTTCAGTCAGAAGACAACTATTAGGACCATATATGAAGTCTTTCTAACTTAGTTGAATATTCCAGACTTGCACTCGGCTGGCAGGGCCTTCTGGAACCCAAGGTTCCCTCAGAGAATTGATGACTATTGAGTCATCTGAGTGGCATCCTGGGGCAAGATAATGACTTTTTACAGTGTTTTTCAGTAGGCTTCTCATATACACATATATGGAATACAAATATTTGGAACTTGTTGATTTCTCTGAAAGTAAAAAAATAACAGTTTCAGCTCCTACTCTTTTAAAAATTCAGGCCCACTGAAGAAGTATGTTTTCAGGAACAAGAACAATAGTGGAGTTTGATTATTGGATTAGATTGACAGTCTCATCAAACAAAAATCCCTGAGACTTTTTCTGAGGGATCAACGATAAATGATTTAGAGTGATGTGACAAGTCTTTATTTACTTGTGGGTATGAAAAGTACTCAAGGAAAGGTTCCAATTTTCATTTTCCCAACTTGTAATGGAATAAAGATCTTTTTTTTTCTTAAGATTACATGTATAGTGAAAATAGTAGCCAAACACTGCTTTGTATAACTGTGGGGGAGAGGTTCCTTTATGTAAGTTTTTTCACTATTTAATCTTTTTAACCAAAAAACCTATTCCTTTGATTATTTTGTTCAGGATTTTTCTCCACTAATTTATAGAATTCTTTATTTGTTTATCTCATGTTGTTCCTCTGCTAGACTTGGATGGAAAGAGATTTTATAAATGTTAAGTACAAATACTTGGAGTTCAAATAAAAGATAAAATTACCAGGACTTGAAAAATTGAGGTTACTTGTTCAGTAAGTGTATGCCTTTCACATTAATTTTTTTTAAAGTTTCTTTTGTATGTGTTTTGTTTTATTTATTACAGGGAGTTAGCCCATGAGCTGGGATTTCCATGGGTTGAGTATTGGGAATTTTTGGACTCTTTTGTTGATCTGTCTTCCCAGGAGGGCCTACGAAAACTAGAAGAATACCTTGGTCAACTTGAAATGAGTAAAAGAGGCCATCAGGAAGCGGGAGAAAATGAGACTTGTAACAGACCTAAAACTTCTAATACTTCTGGTAAGAAACAGATGTTTATGGTTTGGGTGCCATTAAAAAAAAATGCTATCCAAATCTCAAACTGCCAAGTATGATACCTTTAATAAGTCAAACATTATGTCTCTGTAGTTTCTATCTCTAGTAATCATTTTTGGCCTTCTTTCACCCCTGCTTCCAAAAGGTCCAAATTTACTTCATATGTAGCTCAGATGTGCTTTTGTATATGATATAGTCAGAATAAAGATTGTGGTCAAAATGAGGTATGAAACTTCCTGCATGACAGGCACCGGTCACAACTAGCAGTACCTCAAACTCTAACCCATAGGGCCTGTCAGGTTCAGCATCTACAGTATGTGCTTTGCAGATAATTTTTACTATTTTTTTCCTTTTATATATTTATTAAATGGTTTGTGTTTTTGCGTGTTTGCTCGTTTGTCCTTTTGCCCATATTCAGGCTCCATTCTTTGTGTCCAGGTTTAATTTGTTATAGAAGTTAAAACCATAGTAGTGGGTTAGGTGTAACTCACCATGTGATATTCAACAATTTATAGGAACCTAGCAGAGGTCATTTCAAGCCTCCTTTTATTTTATGCAGGAGCCCCTACTGTAATATTCCAGACTGTCATAACAGTTTCTCCTTAAACATTTCTTAATGACCACTCTACTCATCATCTCATGAAGAAAACCCCATAGAGAGCCATATTTCTCTCTGTAACTTTCACCCAGTGGTCTTTGTTCTGTCCTCTGGAGACATGCCCAAGAAGACATCTGCGTGGTGCCCTTCAGCTGTTTGAAGAGAATAATCATGACCCCTTATCTGGAATATTACAGAAAAGAGTCAGACTTGCAGGAGCTGGATGGATTTGACAACTTAATATGTTTCCATAGAAAATTGATTCTATGTCCCTTCTAACCATTCTCCAAGCTTCATGTTTATGGATACTACCTAATTTTTTATTTTTTAGGCAATTGGGGTTAAGTGACTTGCCCAGGGTCACACAGCTAGTAAATGTCAAGTGTTTGGTCTGAGGCCGGATTTGAACTCAGGTCCTCCTGACTCCAGGGCTGGTGCTCTCCCCACTGTGCCACCTAGCTACCCCATACCTAATTTTTTAAACATATTATAATGAACCTGTGACCAGAAATCCCACTCCCAGGATGCTCTGGTCATAGGTTCATTATGATATGTTTAAAAAATCAAACCAACTGAAGTAATGACATGAAAGAGCAATTAAAAAAAGAAACCAAAAAGCATCTTTTTAAAAATCACAGTACACGGAGTTCAAATCTGCCCTCAGACACTTGACACTTACTTGCTGTGTGACCCTGGGCAAGTCACTTAACCTACATTGCCTCACCAAAAAAAAAAATCACAGTTACAAATTTGAAAACTATTAAATGTCTAGAAATATGGCTTATATCCATGCTCTTAAAGGCATTTATTTTTCAGTCCTGATAAGAGTATTGTAAAAAGTGTAATGAACAAAGAACAGGAGTTTCCCCCCACCCCTTCCCCCATCACAGATGCACACTATACACACATGAAAATTTTGGAGGGAAAAATGACCTGAAAGAAAGTTAAGACATTAGAATTTTGACAGGTAAAATTTTTATTACTACTGACTGGCAGCTTAGAAATACCTAAGGTTCACAGTGTCATACTTTATTATACAATCTTACATTATGCTTGCTGTTGTATTTCTAGCAAAATGCCTTTGAATGGAAATGTGTGCCAACCATAGGCTTAATTTGTGTTGATTGCTTTTTATCCAAAACTGCTATTTTCATTTTAATCATCAGGCATTTTATATAGCCAAAATGTGTATTTAGGGAAATGAGTGGCAGAAATTAAAATTATCTATCACCTAGCTCATATATGGAGGCTATATTAATGGAAATTATGATTAAAAAAAACTAATGGATATCTGTTAGTCATATGTTTAAAGTGACCCCCTTTACCTTTTACCTTATACAGGCAGGAGTAAAAAATGCAGCAACTCCATCTCTGTGGGAGCATATCTAGATGAAGAAGATGACATGAGCCTAGAAGAAATTAAAAACAGACAAAATGCAGCACGGAATTACTGCCAGCCACTTGTTTCCCAAGAGCCTGCCATCGGTGCTTTTGGAGATTCACCATGTGATATTCTTTCCATGGAACACACATCACACCTACCTGGCAGACAGTATGAGAAGGGGGGTTCTTCCAACAGAAATGGGTTTTGTAGCCCTGTAACTAAAGATAGGATCATCAGCAGGGAAAAGCAGAAGTCACCAAGTGGGGAAGAGTGCTTTCTTTCCCCTGTCTCCAGTTTAATGACAGAATTTGACAAACTAACATTGCAAGACCAAGGAAATAGGTTTTTCGAGAAAACAAACCAAGTTATGGCAAAAATTGATGATGAGAGAATTCTGACTTTAGGAATGAATCAAGTCAAAATTTCCAGAGACCAGGTAGATAAGATTGGTGCACATCAGATAAAGGAAAACTACTTGTTAGAAGAAGATGCTACCATGGCAGGCAAGTCTGGAAATGGCAAAATAAGGACAGGAAAAGGAATGTCACCTCAAATTGAGAGATTGTTTTTGGATTCCAGTGCTCAGGATGGAGGGTCACAGTTATGTGGCCAGGCTCACTTGCAACCTGGCTCTTCTCTCTTATCTTCAGAATCTCCTCCAAGGTTGTTTTCCAAGATTCCACCTCCAAATGAAAGAGCCAGGAAATTCTTTCTTCAAGGGTATGAATTTTGACTACTCAGCACATACAGTGTACACATACCCCAGTCCTTTTGCCAAAGCCCTTTCTGGCCATTTACAGCCTCATACTTGGGTTGTTGTTTTTTTGTTGTTTTTTTTTTTCACTTATATTAATAGGAATTTGATATTCTGAATTACTTTAAGAGCTATCCATCTTTTATATTGGAAAATCATTTTAAGATGTCTTTTCTGTTATCAGGAGGACTTTTGGCTGGGCTGTTTTAACGAACAAATCCCTCTTCCTGTTGATTTCCAGTTTATAATGGCATGGTAGCCAGGGAAGGAAGCACAGCTATAATTTTTAAGTCTTTCCTAAGAATTTCACCTGTGAAGGGAAAGGATAAAGTTTTAAGTTAATCGTAATCACCGAGTGAGCTTGCACTTTTGCAGAATGTCTAGAGTTCATATAAAAATGCATTTAAGGGTCATACTCAATGGGTCAAAGCCCCCAAAAAAGGGTCATGCTGCAACCCCTGATAGATCACCATGACGACTGAAGGGAAACATCCACCCACCCACATTCTTGGCCAGTTGGGTCATCTCTCGTTGGGGTCAGATTAGCTTTGTTGCTGCCTCACACAGGCAGGACTTTCTTGGCCCCTAGTGGCCTTGGCTGTGATCCCTTGTGAGCTGTTTTGGAATGAACATGTGATTGCTTCTTCCTCATGGGAAGAGGCTGTTGGCATGTAGACAGTCAATCTACATGCATACCAATTCTTGAATAAAAAATGCTAAGTCTAGTACTCTTATAGTTAATCTAGTTAGGAAAAAAAAGATTTTGGGGAATGTTTTTGTTGTTTTTTCCATTCGGTTTGTTTTGTATTCTAGGGAAGAGCCAACCAAACTGGATCGGGATGTTTTAGCAGCTATAGAGCGTGTTGACATTGATCCTCAGAAATACCCTGCTATCAACAAATGGAAGAATACTGTTCAGTCCTTTTCTGCTTTAGAAAGGCAAAGGTATTGACACAGATTTAGTGGAAGAACTTGCATCATAGTTCTTTGTAATTGTCTGCTTGAATAATGAGCTTTGCATGAAATCGACACCTGGATATCTAAGGCCTAAATTAGAATTGCAGTGTTTGAAATTGTATTCGGTATTCTAAATAGAGGAGACAGCAAGTTTTGGAGCCAGGAATACTTTATGTGCAAGCCTTCTTTAATGCGGGCTGGTTGTATGACCCTGGAAAAGTCATTTCCCTGGTCTAAAACTATAGTTACAAAGAGATGGTGCCAGCCCGCTTGGGAGAGGAAGACTCCTCTCTGGGCTCCTTCGATCCCAGTGAAATCACAGGACCAGTCCAAGTTTTATCCTAAGGTTGTAAAATATGGTGGGCCTGTAATCTTACTTCTGCGGTGTAAGTGAAGTGTTTTGCATTGGGGGCAGTTGCTGTGCTTTGGTGAGCTGGATGAATAGTGGGATGCATTGAAAAGAGCACTTGTCTAGAGCTTAAGGCCTGGATTCAGAGCTCATTTATTGACTCTCCCTGTATGACCTTGGACAGGTCACTTAATCTCCTTAAAGCCTGAGTTTCCTGATGGATGTAATGTGGGGATTGGCTGGAGACAGTCTCTGTGGTCCCTCCTAGCTCTGGCTCTCGGTCTGATCCACTGTCTCATGGAGGAATGTGGCCGTGAATGCCGAGGAGGCGTTCCCTAGAGATGGGCTGCTCTGTGGGAAGCAGGGTGCCCTGGGATTGGTTCTCAAGGCCACAAACCAGTCCCTGTTTCCTCTCATGCCACACGCTGTCAGGAGCTCCTTTTCTGTTAAGAAGGCATTTCACATCTTCACTTTTGCACACGAACACAGAACTCCTGAACTGCTGATGGTTAGCATTGTTGGTGCTTGGTAGGCTTGTGGGTTTGTCTCCCAGTCGTTTCTGTGATGCACAAAGTCCACAGATGTTTGTTTCTGTGCTACCTTCCCACCATTGACCACAAATTACAAAACATAGTAGTAACATTCCTTTGCTTTTTTTTCCCTCCCTAGCTGGCCAAGCCCTGCATTGAAAGGAAAACTCAAATCGCAGTGTTCGACTTTGGGTTCACCTCGAAGCTCTGTGTGTTCCAGCCCTGGAAAATACGGCAATTCTTCATGTTCACCTAGTTTGGGGAGCCCTGGACGGTACAGCCCAGCATATGCTAACTTGGTATTAAAGTTAGGTCAACCTCCAGAGCCACCCGCCCTGTAGAAGATGAGTCTTTTTTCTGGGGACCCCATTTAATTTTCTTTTATTCTTTTTTTGTTTAAAAGTGGGGAGGCACATGGAAGAAAATTTTGTTGAAATAACACAAAAGAATGTATTCTGATTATTTATTAATCCTCGTTTGAAGAGGACAAATGTACAATTTTTTAAAAAATGCAAATATATATTGTTTATTATCCCAGTTAGATTACTGTTGATTTGTGAGAGTTAGCAAAGTGTTAACTCAGAGAAAAAATTTTAAATAATCCTTTCTGGTAAAGCAGTGACAAATTCAGACTGTCTTAATTAGCAATTCTTAATAAAAATGAGGATCTTTACAACAGAACAATACAATAACCCACTTTACCCTGTGGACAGTTTTAGCTGTTGGGTGAAGTGCGTGATCACCCTGACAAAGAACGGCCCAGGATCTAAGCAGGTGACTCTGAATGTCAGGGAGTCATAGCACTTGGTCAGAGTTAGCCATCCTCTGATTCCTCAACTTGTAACAATTCACTTTTTATTAAATTTCTACTTTATTTTCTCCATAAAAAGGAAAAGTTTGGTAACTTTTGGCTTTGGATTTTTATTACATGATGGAGAGAAACACCTCTCTGGCTAACACCACTTCAAACCGGCTTAAAGAAAATTGTGTTGAGGATGCTGAGCGAAAACCTTTTATATAATTCTTACTTTCTTGTAAACATCAGTGTCTGAGATGCTAATAATTTTGGTTCACTGGGAGCATTAAAAATGTTGACTTGAAGATAAAAACTGGGCTTTTTTACCTGCGAGAACCAATGGAAGTGGTCACATCAAGAACACTAGCAATAACATTATGGCCCTTCTTACTAGCAGGGTTTTTGTAGTCCAGGTTAGTGTGACCCCTTCTTTGGGCCTAAAGAAATTGCCAACTCAGTTCCTTAGGTTGGAAGCGGCCTCAGAATGTTGCAGTGGCAAACATCTCCTGTGCCTTAGCCTTGGGAAGGAGGCCACTGGCGTGTTTGGCAGGTGTGTGCGCTGCCGTGTTATAGGAGGCCAAGAGAGGGCCCCTCTCCCTCGCAGGCAGCTTCTCCTGGCTCAGGCTTCAGGTGAGTGGAAGAAGGATTTGTAGAAATCTCTTTTACAGTTTTAGAGCTGTAGGACTCGAATGGAGCTTTAATAGCCTCTGAGGACTGCTGCTGTGTCACTGACCGAGGCTGTATGTGCAAGGTGGGCCCTCTTCTGAATACCATGGAGGCTGCATATGACCTCCAAAATTGCTCTTCATGTTTTTGTGAGCTTAATAGTGCCTTTTGTTAAAAAACAAACAAAAAATAATTCTTTGACCTTCCTTGTTTTAAAAAGTTGTAAGCTGACATCTTAAGTTTGGGCACTTAAGATGTTTATTTCCTTTGTAGGAGTTTTTAATTGAAATATACACGAGAGGCTGTTACTTCTGCATGATGACTGGAGAAGGATCTAAGTTTTGGAATCAAGCTGTAGATTTTGAAATTGTAAAGATTATTACAGTTATTGTTTAACTCGTTGTGTACAAGATAATTTGGGCAGTGAGTAGGTGGAAGTCATGTGTCCTCTTAAGAGCAGAGCATCATTCTGAATAGGAACGAAATGCTGTTACCGCATTCACGGTGGGGGGGATGTCTCCACCCTGACTCCCTGTTACACTAACCAGTATACTAAGGTGTTTGTATTAACTTTTCTTTTGTACATAAAGATGGAAATAAAAATTACCGTATCTTTTTTTTTTTTGGTCACAGTGCTTTTTAGACAGTTTTCTCTAGATTTAATATGTTCTTTTCTCACATGTTTACACTATGTTCTCTACTGACATTTCAAAAAAAAAAGTTTGCAAAGAGGTTGCTGCAGAGCAAGTTTGGCATGTTGATTCAAGTGTCCTACATTAGAGCACATTCACTGTCATAATGCTTTGTACCCCATAATGAAAATAAATTATTTTTAGTTCATAATATTCTTAATTTTGGACAGGGTACCTTTCTTCACAATATTTTAAGCCTTGTTTTGGAAAGCATTCAAGATACTAAAATGCTGATGAATTAATTTACCATTATTAGTACCTTTATTTTGTAAAATGCTTAAATCTAGCCCAGAAAAGGATGATTCTGGTATCAGCTGAAACATCTTGCCCCCAAATTTTGTTAATGAGTTAGGGAAGAGTTTCATTGTAAAATTGTTTGTGTTTGTGAGGTTATGAAATATGTGATTCATTTGCTGTAAAAATTACTTTTATGTGTACATGGAGCTGAGGTCGGCAGTCCCAAGTCCCCAGTTAACAAAAGAAAAGGTCCTCCATGAAAACTATATTGGGATGCATTAAACTTAATTAGAAAAACACGTTGTGAGCAGTTAATGTTATCATCAGAAATGTAATTTGCTTACCTTTTTTCACGAATTGAAAGATATGCTGAAGTTTCACCATTGCTTTTTTCACTGAAAAATGATCAAGTAGTTAAAGTAAGCTGTTGTAAAAGTGTGATTGGGGGATGTGGGATGGATGAATGACAGGAGCTTGTCGATGACCCTTGAAAGTCACCTGTAAGGACAAAGCAACCTAACCTTTTCCCCCTCCTGTCTAATTTTTGAAACCAACAACTTTTCAGGAAACAATTCACTTCAAAAAGATTGGTCACTGGGAAGGTTCAATACCAGCTGATGGAGTTTTTTAGACTGCAAGCCTAATGAGTAGACAAGTGATTGACAAAAAGGCACTGTAATAATAGAATGGATCAAGAGGCCTGGTGTTGAGAATATAGGAGTTGATAATCCCACAATACACTGCCCTTGTCACACCATACATGGAGTATTGTTAAGTCTAGGCACCACATCTGTGGAAGGATGTTGACAAGCTGATAACTGTCCAGAGGAAGACAAACAAGATGGTGATGGGACTAGAGACCATACCCCATGAGGATCAGTTGAAGGGACTGATAATGTTTACTTTGGAGCAAAACTCTGAGAGGACATGAATGCTAGGTTCCAAATATTTGAGAAGCTGTCATGAAGGAGGAGTTTTGCTTGGCTGTGAAGGGTAGAACTAAAGAACAGGAACTAAGAAGAAAATAGAGGCCCAGTTTAAGACAAAACTTGTTATGTTCATAGAGGTCCAGAAATGGAAGGAATTGCCTTGTTGATGCAGTCAGGTGAAAGGTGGATGGCCTTTATGTTAACATAAATTTTGACTTGAATGGCTTAATTTTAAGGGCCCTTTCAACTTGATATTCTGTGAACTTGCAAAAGCTCTATTTTTGGAGACCTTTGAGGCCTGGGAGGGAGCCCCATTCTGAACCTTAATCCCAAGTAGAATTGAGAGAGCCTTAAAGTGTTTCAGGGTTAGAGAAGATGGTTTCTCAGCTTTGAGAAGGACTTGATTTGTCTTCTTTTAACACCAGATTTTGTAATTCCCTAAAAGGCAAATGCTTATGGGATATCGCACTCCTAATGTAAAGGTAAAGGTCCATAATAATTTTTTCAAATGAGACTGAATCAATATTTCTTAATGTTTTCTTAAACAGGCTTTTAAAAGGTTTATTTTTTTTTTAACAGTGACACAAATGCTACATATTCTGTGTTTGTGCAAATAGGGTCAAGAATAGATAATTCTCTTCTAAAGGGAAAAGAACGCTAGAACACAACCAGTGGCACAGGAACTGTCACAGAATATTAGAGCTGGAAAGCTACTACAGGACATGGATGCTGGCACGGAACACAGGTGGTTGTTGCTGAGGTGACATGGGAGAGCCTCTAATCCAGCCCTCCTTTTATAGATAAGTAGCTTTAAGGCTACCCAGAAAGGGTTACCCAATACCTGTGATCTTTTTGTAAATTGTTTTAAAAATAATTGTTATCTTTATTTATAAGTGGAGAGGCCTGCAAAGGTGATCAAAAATGTAGTTGAAATTCCTTAGGACACAGAACACTCTTTCAAATCATCTAATTGAAACAAAATTTCAAGGAAAAGGACTTTAATTTCACACTAAATTTAACTGCCTATAGCAGTGCTAGATCAATAGCTGTGCCCACCTCCAGCCCTCTGTACTGTCAAGTCGGTGTCTTCAGTCACACCTGGCCTAGAAATAAGTGTTGCAGGTCTTAAACTGAGGTCTTGAGTAGATAGTTGTAGTTGGAAAGGGAATGGGATTTGTTGTTGCAAGTCTGGTCTTCAAATTCTGGATCTGATTCATTGTTCGTGTGACCTCAGGCAAGTCGCTGAACCTCTGATTAGGAGTAAGTACTTAAATTGTTGAATTAAGTTTAATTTCCTACTTGCTAAGATCAGGCAGTTAAGACTAGTAATTGTGTGATTAGTTTATTTCTTTAACCCATCTTGAGTCTCCTCAAAGTCTAACTCAGTTGGTAATGATGGCTTGCACTTAGGGAAAACTTGAGGGCCTACAAAGTGCTTCCCTTCTAACAGCCTGTGAAGCAGGTGGTTTCATTGTTAACATGATGGGAGCTTCTGACTGTACATTTACTCATCGCTCCTATAGAACGAGTAAAGGCCCCTGGGTCCTTATACTTCAAATGGTTGGGCACAAAAAGGCTGTCAGAACCCCTAAACTGTTTCTTCTAGATAGGATAGATAGGATAATTCTTCACGAAGTAGCTGTTTAGGAATTTACCTACATTCCAAGTTTTTTTACTTAAAGAATGAGAAAGCATACTGCTACAGAGATTCCTTAGCTTTGAACCCAGCTGCAGGAGCCGTGCCTAGAGAATACATCTTGGCACAGAACAACACGCCTTCTATGTGGCTGTGTTTATTGCCTGGTCTCATCCTAATACTGCTTCTGAGACATGTCCATGTGGTATTTGGATCTTCCCTGGTTCTTTCTCTTAGGCCCAGGCTGGGGAACCTGCAGCCTCAGGGCCACAGGTCCTGCCCTCTAGATCCTCAAGCCGGGCCCTTTGACTGAATCCAAACTGCACACAATAAATTCCCTTAATAAAAGGATTTGTTATATAAAACTTCCAATTTGCACTTAGGTAAAACTTGAAGGCCTTTCCAACAGCCCTGTGAAGCAGGTGGTTTCATTGTAATACGATGGGAGTCAAAATGCCATACCTAAGGACCTAGAAGGCTACGTGTGGCCTCAAGGCTGTCTTAGTCTCTGCTTTGAGGACACAGTCTGCTCCAGATTTCTCCCTGCCCTCCCTCTTCCCTCAGGTAAGGGAGCTACAAAAGACAAGAATAAAAAGCATTTGGTGCAGCATGGTATATGGGAGGAGCACTGGATTTGGAGTCAGAGAACTTGGGTTTGAGTCTTAGCTCTACCAATTAGTCTGTGTCCTTGGGGAGGGGTCACTTCACTGTTTTGGACAGTAGATTCATCTACATGGCTCAGTGGATAAAGCACTGGACATACAGTCTGGAAGACCTGGGTGGGCTCAAACCTTGCTTCAGACACTACTCACTGTGAGACCCCTGGGTGACACTTGACCTTTGTAAAAAGGGGATAATGTTTGTGCCTCCCAGGGTGGGTGTGAAAGTCAAATGAGACAAATTGTAAGTGCTTTGTAAACCCCTAAGTATATGAATGCTTTGGATTAGTTTACAAAACAAGGGAAGGGAGTAGATACCATCTAAGGTCCTTTCCAGCTCTGGATATGTCATCTGATATAATTAATTCTTTGGTGTATGCAGTATTACTGATGCAGGCATTTTCTGATCAGGAAATAAAGCAGTTCTCTCCAGGGGCTCTGAGAAACTATAGCAAAGTACTGATTAACCTGCTTGTGGGGGCCACTGTCTAATTCATAGACACTGGAAAAGAGGACAAAATCAAATGAGTAACACCAATAAAATAAAACAATTTATTGTGTAAACGTTAAAAAAGTCGATAGACAAAACGATAAGTTATCCCAATTGTTTGCATTGATTGATTGCAGTAAAATCTTACAACCACTTTTTCACAGTAATTTTCCTACCACCTTGTTTTACCTGAATTAAGACATTTGTGGCCAGAGAATATTTGGAACAGACACTTTTTGTCTAAATACCCCAAAGCACTTAAGGGTTACTGGTGGCTGAATCCTTAGTTGGTACGCGTAAGACATTAGCATCAACCAGAGGCACCCCAGTTACAATGTGAAGCAAAGACTTTAGTCTGGGCCATTAACAGACCTTCAACTAGATCATCTTTTCTAGTGTTGGAGACCTTTGTTAAAAATTCTTGGGCAGCTAGGTGGCACAATGGATACAGCACTGGCCCTGGAGTCAGGAGGACCTGAGTTCAAATGAGGGCTCAGACACTTGACACTTAAGTAGCTGTGTGACCTGAGCAAGTCACTTAACTGACTGCTTCACAAAGGAAAAAAAAAACAAACCACACCTTGCAACATAGTAGCATCCTCCCAGTAACACTTGTCAAACTCAGCTGTCAAACACCGGTGGCTTTTTCAGCTGGACAAAGGTGTCTGTGCTAGCAAAGACTTCACACTTGTCTCAAACAAGTCTCATTCTAGGGGGCACATATCATCTCACACAAGCTTAGGACAGCTCAAATCTCCTCTGACCAGCCACAGTGGTGGGCTGTCTTGTTATCCCAGCAGCTATTACAAGTTATAAGTGGGTAAGAAGTGGGTTTTCAAAACCAGGTGGTAAGGACCTAGAAAAATGGTGAGAAAACTTTAATTACATACCTGTCTGTAAGACAATGAAAAATAAGTTTTAGTAATCTAGGGATCCAGGAATCACTTGAACTAGCCTGAACGGTTCTTCAACTGCATGACTGATCACACCAGACTGTCCCGCTGTAAACAGCTGTAACCACTGCTGGCTGAAGGAAGTCCTTAGTGTCAAAGGGACAGACAGACTCAGATGGCAGGAAATTTAGCTGTTTGTGATCTCTTCTTATAATGAAAATTTACTCTCATGTGTGACTTGCACATCCATAATGTCATGCTACATCCAAATGTATAGAAAATATATCTTTTAACTCCTATCCTACTACTTCATTCCCTTAAGTCGCACAAGAAGCTTTGGTCAAAGAGGCAACTTCTCTAAATCCAGAACCTTCTGAACCCTGTGAAGTGGACCTGTCCCAGTGGTGTCTTCATCCTCCCTGACCAGGAAGGCCTTTGACAGAAATGCAGCATTTAAGCACAGTTTTCTCTCTTCAGGACAGAAGTATAGCCAGCAAAGGAGTAACAGGAGGGAAAATCCAAATACTTTTGAACACGCAGCATTCTAGCCAAACATTACAAACACAAACGGGTCCGGATGAAGGGAGACGCGGCTGATGACTGCAGAGGCGGGTGTTCAAGTGCGGGTAATTTTGTCGGGGGGCATGAATCCACTGTCCCCCAGGGTCCTTAGTGCCACCCTTCCACTAGGACGGATCACCAGATGGGTTATGCTGCCATTATTAAGGGACATCCGCAGCCAGCCCTCAGGAGGGAATTGTAGCGCTCTTGAAGAGGAAAATGGTAGAACCATTAGCCCGTCTTATGCACATCAGACACTTGGAAGCAGGGCTAACAAACACACTAACATACCCTTCCTCCCAGGCAGCAGCATGCACCAGATGGACAAAAATTGCCAAAATAATAATAGTTAACACTGTTGAGGCTATTCTAAAACTCTGTGGTTATAGGGAAAAGAAAACAACTTACAAACCTTTTGGAAAACCATATGGCAATACACAACATTGACAAAAAATGTGGACACTATATTCAGAGTATGTGAAAAAATTATGGTATGTTAACATAGTATGGCACCATAAAAATATGAATACAAAGAAAAGACTTGAAATGATTCGGGGTGTGAGATCACAGATGACAGTTTAGAGCAGGCAGGGACCCTGGAAATGGGCAAGTGGAAAACTGAACTCAAACCCTCCAGCCCCCAAGTCAGAATCCTTTCCCCTGCAGTAGAACCAAATGGCATAAAATACTACACCAACTACAGAAGAACTGAAAGCTTCAATTAGCTTGAAAGGGGCATGGAACAAATTGACAGGTGTTTGGGGCTTTGAGCAGGATTCTATTCCTCATTTGTTTTTACAGTAAAATATGGAACAAAGACAATAAAATGAGGCAGGACTTTCTAGTCTTAGTAAGGTACAGATGTTAGCAGGGCCTCCTTTTCTAAGCCAGTGTTTTCTCCCAAAACCTCAGGATGCTGACCGTAGGAAGAAAGTGTTCAGTCTAGACAGTAATGACAGAGTCCTATTCTGCTCTGAGAATATACTGATGTAAGGTGATTGCCATCCCAAAATTAAAATAAAGGACGAAAACCACAGCTTTAGTAGGTGTAGTTCAGCCTGACGTCCCCCTCCTGACAAGAGGTGATGGATAGACTCAGGCTACCGACTAGACGAGACATTTTTGACATGTCCAATTCAGGAATTTGTTACTGGGGTTTTGTTTTTCTATCTTTTTCAATTGGGAGGAAGGAAGGGGAGAAGGAGTAGATTCTCTATTAATTGAAAAAAAAAAAGTTTTTTAAAGTTAAATTAAAAAATCTAGTTCCTTTTGACAAGCTTGAAGGGACGGACATCAGAAGTCATTCCAGCCACTCATTTTACAGATGAGTAAACCAAGGCCAAGAGAAGTCAAATGATTTACCAATGTCAGACAGGCAGAGTGGCAGAGCCAGCATTTGAATGCTTCACTCCAATAAAGCCACCTTTTCATTGTACCATACTATGTCCCTTACACAGATGCTTGTGAACCACTGTCTTCAGTGGAAACCGGTCATAAACTAAAGACAAGCCAAGGACACACAAGAATTGGTGATCACTATGGACCCATACGGGATACCCCAAAAGTCTTAGTGCAAGTTTTAAGATTTAATAGATTTAAGACTTTTGGCATACCTTGTATAAAGAAGAGGGGCATTTATGGAGCACCTACTATATGCCAGGCGCTTAAAAAAACCACTCTTTTGATCCTTAGATCTCTTAGATACTTTGCAATGTAGGAATTATGATGACCCTCATTTTAACAAAGAAAGAAACTGAGGCACAGAGAGAGGAGGTGAAGTGATTGGCCCAGGGTCACATCTACTAAGTGTCCAAGGCAAGATTTGAACTCAGGGCTTTGTGACTTTGTGTTTTCTCCACAGTGCCACCTAATGTGTAGAAATAAAATATAAAGGAAGCGCAACACTGGCCACACAGGGAGTTCCTGTCATTACCTGCAGACAATGTAGCGGATGACATTGGCGTGACACACAAAGATCTCATAGCTGTCTTCCTCCTGCTTGGCATCTGCACGATGGATGAAGTTACGAAATGCAGCCTCGATGCGGGCTCCGTCCTCGTAATACTGCTAAGGGCAGACAGTGGGGAAGCAGACTGTAACCAGCTGTCTGGCACAGACACCCCTTCTGACCCCGGGGGTGAGGAATAAAAAACCCAGTCTTGAGGTGGCCGACCTAAGACGAGCGAATGGGATGGGGACCCGGGAAGAAATACAATCAGATGCACACGCACATGGAGCAAAGAGACACCCTGGAGACAAAGCCTCATCACTGCTGCACAAAGGGCCATTTTCCAAGCAAGCATCTACCCCCAGATTAAAAGCCACCTAGAAAAAAAGACTGCTTTGTTTACCCGGGCTTCTGGCTTCCAGTCAGACACAGGAGGGTCAGGTTCGATGGGAGCGCCTTCCCGCAGTAGGTCAGTGCTGATTCTGCTGACTCCTGCAGAGAAAGGAGCAGTGCCCCGTCATGCAGATGATGCTGGGGAACGGGGCTGATGCCTAAATGACCCAACAAGCCGAAGGAAGCTCAGAAAACATCCTTATGCTGAGCTAGGCTTCAGGGCCTTAGCATCCCAAGGGACCAGCCTCGAGCTAGCCAGGTTACAGCAGCACTACTCTGTAACACTCTGTAACTACACTAGTAACAGAAAAACACAGCACAAAGGGCCAACCACAACCCTTCCTCATACACACACACAAAAAAACAAAAAACCAAAAACGAAGTAATGCTCTCAACTATTTTTAGTCAAAGGTGAAACAGAAACTTTACTGTGTCCAGGTCCCAAGTCTTCACTCCCCGGGACAGTCTGGGCATGTTCATTCCAGGAGGGTTTGATGACCCTTAAGAAGTCTATGTTATTCCAGCTTTCTTCCCTTGTGTCTTCTATGTATGAAAAAAAGGCTGCCCAGGCCTCTTCAATACTACCACATCTAGTCCAGTCCCTTATTTTACAAATGAAATAAGCTGTGCAGTCCAGTGGAAACAGTAGAAATGGACTGAAATGTCAGAGAGCCCAGGATTCAAATCTTGCCCCCAGTACTTCTGAGGTTTGGTACCTAGACAGGTCATTTCAGCTGAGAGTCTGTTTCTTCAACTATAAAATGGGGATAACAGTCCCTCCCTCACAAGACAACAGAGAGGCTCAGTGGACTTTATTGATTTTCAAACACTAAAGGTCAGTTACGATTAGTTACGAATTCTTAACCAGGATGCTATCCCCTTGTACTTATAGGATATTTTACATTAATTTCTGGAACAGCAACACCAAGTCAGGAAGACAGCCTATGTTAGGTCCATCAACTGCCCTCCCTGTGGCACTCAATACAAATAGGAAGATGAGAGTGTTGTCAAGAGAGACTGCCGTCACCTACCTGGAAGGTGTTTGGAGATGATGTCAGTCGTTTCTATTGCTCTAGTCATGGAAGAGTGCACGATCTTATCAAATTTCACACCCAAGCTGGCTAATCGACCGCCAGTCAATTCAGCCTGTTCACGACCTTAAAGTTGAAAGAGTGTAGAGTTCTATTTGACTCAATCAGCACACCGCCAAAACGGAATCAAGTTTGGGATGTTTTCTTTTTTGAACATGTACAGAGAAAAATATCTGATTTGGTACTGGTTATCCCTTACATTCAGCTAGAATAGTCATCTACTGCCAGGAACACCCAATGGGTCACAAGCACCATGGTGGCTAAACATTTCATTCATTAAGCCTGAAAATCTGCACAGCGTGAGTCATGGCCCACATACCAAGTCTCTGGAAAGGCTCATGGGAAAAGTGAGCCTCTCTTTACATAGGCCTAGCTGGATCGGCTCCATTTGAGTAATGTAGCACCGAGCTTGTCCTTGGAAAGGTAAGAAAAACAGCTTGAGCTGTGGGGCCGCTCTTCCTCCCTCCACCCTGGAATCCCCAGCTCCCTGTGCTCCTTGTGTGCCCGACTGAACGTCACCCTGACTACAAGGGTTGGTTCGTATCTGCGTTTGTAAATTCAATGCTTAGCCTGCTGCAGGCACTTAACTAACAAATGCCTGCTGAACTGTACATTATTTAGAAATCTGCGTCCAAGTTGAAATTTCCTAAGCTGTTAGTCTTAAAAGACTCTTAAGGGCTAAAAATGATGGATGGAGGTCCACTAGGCTAAGAATAAACCTGAGACATTCCCAAAGAACAGACTGTTTTAAGGGTGGCTGAAGGAGGGCAAAGGCAGCAAGTCACAGATGCATGGATTAGCATTATCACTAGCCAGGAATCCTTCCTCCAGAAAAATAAGGTTCATAACAAGCAAGGGCCCAAGAGGTCTGCAGGTGGAAGGCCCACTTACCCAATTCAGTCAGCGTTCGATCCTTATCCAAGGAACCGTCCAGATTGTACTGGGAATGCCTGATCAGGAAGATATGGCGAGTGGCTCTGGCTTTGAAGTTATCCAGTTTAGATGTTATCTCCTCTTCCCCAGTTTCTGTGCTTCTTTTCTTCACATTGATAAGAGACCGTGGTTCTCGCCTAATTTTCAAAAATAATACATTTTACACTGTGACCTTCTATGTAATTCCTCTCCAAGCATATCTTACAAGAAAATTTTGTCCCACCCCCAGACTGACAAATTATTCATGAATTAAACTTGGTATTTAAGTAGTTAAACATAAGAGTTAGAGTCAAGCAGCTCTGTGCTCTGATCCCATGTAACACTTATATTTACTTATTTAGGTTTTAGTCAATTGACAGTTTTTCCATTTGTAAAAATAATGGATACGATAACTTCTTTCTGAAGAAATCTTATTCCATTTTAGAGTCAAGTGTAGTAAGTCAAGATAGTTAATTTTAAAAAATATTTGATTTGTGAAAGTAAACTCTAAAGTAAATACTGTTGCAGCTCTGAATTTAGTTTTTCTAAAACAAACTAGAATTAGAAATAACTGCAGGAAACAAAGTCTTTAAAAATTAGCCTTAATCTGCTTAGAAAAGATTTAAACTCTAGTCCTTAAAAATGGAAATCAGTTCATTGGATTTCTAGCCTACAAATCCTGGTTCTGCATTTGTACTACTTGTGTGACCTTGGCCAAGTCACTTACCCTCTTGGGAGGGTAAGTTTTCAGTATTCTCATCTGAAAAATGAGAAGATTGGACTGGACTAATTAACCTCTAAGGGCACTTTCTGTGTGTATTCTCTCTTCTTCTGGTTGAGGATCTCTTCTCTTACAATCCCAAGTAAGGGATTTACTTGGGCCTATCTTTACTTGGTGCTCCACTTCCTCATCTGTAAAAGCAGGTTTGCACTAGATGATTACAGCTAACTAGCATAGTGACTTAGTAGTAACAAAATATTGCAAATATTCCCTCACAGTATTCTCACAACAGCCTTGGAAGGTAGGTGCTATTATTATTCCCATTTTATAGCTAAGGAAACTGAGGCTGGATATGACTTGAGGTCTTTCTGACTCCAGGGCCAGCGGGTCTATTCAATGTGCCACCTACCAGACTCTAAGACCACTAAGGTTCTTTCCAACTCTAAATATAGGACCATTAAAAATATTTACTGAGTTTTCCCTCAACATTAACATAGACTGTCCCTCTAAGGAAGGGTTTGCTGACTTGCTTGTTGTAAGCACTGATGAGTGTAAAGTGTTACATCCAGTCAACTTTGTTCCTTTATCTGCACTATTTCCTAGTGATTATTTTGTTTTCTTCAGACCACGGAGTTTTATCATGGGCTCATCAAAAATGCACAAAACTCCCTCCGCCCATACAGATCAGGAATTCATACAGCGCAGCCTCGGAGAGCTACCTGGGACACAGAGAGGTCACGAGGCTAATAAGGAATCGGTCAGAAGCAAAGCGAAAACCCAGGTTTCACTGACCACCAGGCCCTGTATTCCCCATGCCAAAGAGTCTCTAATCGATCTAGTGTGTTAAAATAAAAAGCTGTTTCAGGATTGAGAGGCCTCTTACCAGTCTTGCATTCCAGCCCTCAGAGAATACCTGGCAAGTAAAAATCTAAAATCTTCCAACTTTCTGTAAAGAATCCTGGACAAAGTTCCAAGGCCTGGGTTCTACAGCCAAAGTCTGTCAAGGAGCTGGAGCAGGTCACCTAACCTCTGGCAACTTCCACTTGTCAGGTACACAAATTCCTAGCTTTAGCTAAACTAGTCTAGGCACCTGCTACAGTTGTACTGGTGCCAACACACCAGGTGCCCTCCTAGCTCAGCTTCTGCTTTTCTCTCCAAACAGAATGTCTCCCCGGAGTGCTGCATCTACTTAAATCGCACCCATCCTTTAAAGCCCAGCTCACCCAAAGCCTTCCCAGGTTCTTCAAGCCACTTCTTTTCAAGGGGTAATGCTAGATTATAAACTCAAGGAGAACAAGAACGTGGGTTTTTTGTTCTTCTTTTTCATCTTTGCCTTCCCTGCACTTAGCATGGGTGCCCTGTACACAGTAGGTGCTAAAAATAAATGCTTGTTGATTTGAATCAAAGCACTTACCACAAAGCCTTGCAAACGGTGCCTAATAAATGCTCATTTTCTGGCTTCAGGCTAAGGGCCTAAGAAATGTGTTCCTAAACTGAAGGCGTAACTATGCACGGCCCATCACCCGCTAATGGCAGAATTAGGATTAGGGGCAGAGACTGAAAAAAACAACTCCCTCCCCAAGTGTCCCTAGACCTTTGGGATACACCATTACTTAGCTCTCCCTACTTCCCCTTCTTCTGAGCTCAGCAAACACCTTATTTTTGATGTTCTTTCCTAATTTAATAAAGGTGAATGTAGACTGTCCCTTCCCAACTTCACAGAAGTCCCTGTCAGATTGCCCTTTTCCAATTTAATAAAGATTGGTGTCACATTCTTCCTTCCCCAGGAAGCAAAGCAACTCTTGACTTAAAATCGAGGTGCTCTGCATATCGTAGGCGCTTACTAAAACACCGGCTAAAATGTCCGTCGAACATATAATGGGACAGGCCTACGGGCACCCCAGACTAGGGGTGCCAGGCCGCCAGATCACGCCCCACCCCAGATAAGAGTATCCGCGGGGCCTTCATCTCCCGCCTCCGCGCGTGGCCCAAGGACGATTTGCGGGGCCTCCACCGAGCGCCCCTCCGCCACCTGTTGCCACCCTCTCCCCCGGCCGTCCCGGGGCGCCTCCTCCTGGAAGCCCTCCCGGATCTAGAAATTCACGGGGGTTCGTGGATCCAGGAAGCGATCTCGGGGCCATCTGGTCCACCCGACCCCTTTACAGATGGGGAAGCTGAGGCCCGGGGAGAAGGGACTCGCCAGCTGTCCTTACTTGTCCCAGTTGCTGTCCCACACGCCGCTGGCGGGTCCCGGGCGCACCCGCTCCGCCCACGTCTGGGCTTCCGGGCTGGCCCACCGGGACTCCGCGTCCGAGCCGCCCGCCCCGCGCGGCTTCCCCACGGCCACGGCCGAGAAGAGCACGGCGGCCGAGCCCCCCGCCAGCCCGCAGACCGCCAGCTTCAGCGCCTGCCGGAACGCCATCCCGCGGGCCTGAGCCTGGGCCTGGGCCGCCTCCCGCTTCCCGTCGTCTCCCGCCGCCGCAGCAGCAGCCGCCTCCTCCTCCTCACGCTTGGGCTGCGACCCCGGCTGCCGCCACCGAACACGCACGAGCGCTCTGGCCATGGACGGCGCGCGCCCAGGGACAAACTTCCTCGCCGCCGGTCCCGCCCACGAGCCTGAGCTCGCGCCTCCAGGATGAGCTCCCGAGCGGAATGAGTGACGCGGCGGGGAGGAGGGGGAGGGACTAGCTCTGGCCCCGCCCCGGGGGTGGGGCTTGTGTCCCGGGAGCTCTGGGAACTCCGCAGGGAAGGAGGGAGGGAGGACGGCTCCCTCCAGGAGTCTGCTCGCGATCTGCCAGCTCCCCACCCACCTGCGCAATTCGCGCATCTGTTAGGAGTGGGGAGACTGAGCTAAGCTGCAGAGCTGTTTACACCTGCTGGGCCTCCAGAAACCGAATACAGAATTCCGGGTTTGGGGTCCCCTCCTGCCTTTCCAGCCTTCTTACCCCAGCAATCCAGTGACACCGCCTGGGGCTGGTCATTAGATTGCAACCTCCCTGAGGGCAGGCACTGGCTTTTGTCTCCTGATTACATCGCGTGCCTGGCCCCTAGTAGGCGCTTAATAACTATGGACTGATTGATTGACCTGTGTTTAACCTGCCTTTGTGCCGCGGGGCGCCCCCCCTCCCCTCGCTTAGCACATTGTTTCCCAACTGTGTTTATTGAACTGAATTGTTACACAAAAATAACACACTCTATCTCCCAACTCTGGGAGCTTTTTTTCAGTTAGTTTTCAGTTTTCAGTCAATAATAATAACATTTATTATCATAACTAATATTTATGCAGCGCTTACCATGTGCCAGGCTAAGCACTTCACAATTATCTCATTTGATACAACAACCCTGGGAGGTAGATGCTGTTATTATTCTCATTTTACAGATGAGGAAACTGAGGCAGCCGGAGGTTGAGCGACTTACCCAGGCTCAAACAGCTAGTAAGTGTCTGAGGTCATATTTGAACTCAGGTCTTCCTAATACAAAGCCAGGCACTCCATTCACTTCGCCACCTGGTTACCAATACAAGTTTTATTAATGGCGTACTGTGCGTGCTAGGCAGTGTGCTAAGAGCTGTCCCCCATGCCTGCAATACTTCCTCTTTATCTCTGTCTCCTGGCTTCCAGGTCTCCATTCTAGTCTAGGATAAAATCTTACCTTCTGCAAGAAGCCTTTCACCAGTCCCAATCTATCCTTCAATTTATTTATTTCAATTTAACTGGTGTGGTGTCCCAAAAGTCTTAGTGCAGTCTAAAGATTAAAGCTGCACTAAGACTTTTGGGACACCCTGTATATCTTGTTTCTACATAATTGTTTGCATGTTGTCTCACCTGCTAGACTATGAAATCCTTGAGCTTATGGACTGGTTTTCTATCTTTTTTTTTTATCCCCAACAATTAATACAGTGCCTGGCACATGGTCGGTGCTTAATAAATGGTAGTTGACTGTCTCTGGTGTGTGCCCTCAGCAGCCCACTCTGAACCTCCACACTCCATAGCCACTCCCCACTACATGGCTTCCTGCCCACCATGGCAGCTAGGTTGGGTAGTGGACAGAGTTTTGGACTTAAGAGTCAGGAATCTGAATCCTGAGTTTGATTCTGGCTGCACACACTTACTGGCTGTGTGACCCTAGACAAGTCACTTAACTTAGGCTCTCAGTCTCAGCTTCCTCATTTGTAAAAGCAGGAATAATAGTAGCACCTACCTCTCAGTTGTTTTGAGGATGAAACAAGATTTACATGTTAATCGCTTTGCAAATCTCAAAGGGCCGTGTAAGTGCCAGCCATCCTCACCACCAGCACCAGCACCAGCACCAGTAGCATCACCACCACCACTACCACTACCAAAAGCCCTCCCTAGCAGTCAGCACCCTTCACATTTCTGCCCTCTGAGGCAAAGCCCTGATGTGGTCTGGTGTATCACTTCACCCCCACCCCGACATTCCTGCTCAGCCCTGAATCCTGCCGCAAGTCTATATCCACCCATCCCTTACATACATCTCTGATCCCGCCCTGGAAAGCACTCTGCTTGACTGTGCCCAGCTCCCCTCAGGCTCCTGTCAATCAATCTATCACCAAGCATTTATTTATTAAATAGGTAGGGCACAAAGGGTGATGCACTGGAGAAGGAAAAGGCAAACCACTCCAGCATCTTTGCTAAGAAAACCCCATGGACAGCACTGGTGTGCTATTGTCTACGGGGTCACAAAGAGCCCGACACAACTGAACACCAACAACAAAAGTGTCGTGTCGGCACACATACTCCTGGGCTTGCACATACGGCCTGCCGCACCCCAAACACCACCCACACAGGTGAGCTTCCCAGCAGGCTCAGCCTCAAGCCTGGGGAGCTCGGGGCCTCATCTTGTTGAGCTGCTAGGCTCTAAGCTTTCCCTTTGTGCCAGTGTAACTCCAGACAGGCTTGGTGAGGTGCTCTGGGTGTTTAAAATGCAAGGAATTTGTCAATTCAAGAAAACCTATTGTCTTTCAAAACATCCAGCAGTCATACTCTTCACCACCAGGTCTTAGCTTTCTTGGGGAGGGTGAACTCCGAATGGGGCCCTTCAAGCCAGCGGGACCCGGTCCTATGGCACCTCCTTTTCACCAGGGGACCCATGTTCTCATTTTTCTGGCATGAGCTGGCAGCAGATTGTTTGGTTTTCCATTTCAGAATCTGCATCTGCTGATTAATTTAGCGTGGGACTTATAAATACAGTACCCGGGAGGAAACCTGCCTTGATCCCTCCAGCTCCCCCTGCAACAAACACTCGAGAGTTTCTTCACCCCTTCACCTGACCCTTAGCACAGAATACTTGGACACCAGTATCTCTTCATTTAAAAGTATTTTATTGATGCTTTATTTAAAAAACCGCTGTTAAATCCCCAACACTCTTTCCCCCATTCTAGAATCCATCATTACAACAAAGTACAGACAAATGAAGCAAACCTATGGGCTGATTATGTATGACGGCATCTTCCTCATCCCACACTTGTAGTCCACTGCCCCATCTACCCCGAGGTGGGATGTACATTGTTCATGTTACTCATCCTCTACTCAAAACCAGTCTCAAACACTGCTGTCCTTTACTGTTCTTCCCCCTCTTTATATTATCATGGTCATTTATGTTCTTCTGCTTCTTTTTACTTCACACTGCGTCAGTTCAAATTAGTCTTCCTAAGTTTCTCTGAATTCTTCGTGGGCTTTACTTTTTTCTGGCACAGTCATGTTTCATGATGTTCCTATTTCACAATTATTCAACCATTCCCCAATCAATCGACAATTACTCACTTTGTTTCCAGGTACTTATTTTGCTTTACTGACATAAAAAGTGCTATTATGAATATTTTGACAAAAACATATGGGATTTTTTTCCCCATTAATCTCTTTGAGGTATATGCCCCGTAGTGGGACCGGGGGGTGAAAGGGTATTGCTGATTTAAATCACTTTCCTCACATAATTCTAAATTGTTTTCCAGAAGGTTCAGACCAGTTGCACCAGGATCATAGAACTGAAAGGGACCTTAGAGGTCCAATCCCTCATTTTACAGAGGAGGATATTAAAACCATGTGACTTGCCCATGTTCACAAGATATTAAATGTCTAAAGCATGATTTGAATGTCTTCCTGACTCCGAGGCCAGCACTCTATCCAACTAGCTGCCTAGTATATTAGTGTTCCTGTGACATACATCTCTTCTAGGTTGGCTTCTGATTATGACATATTTCTCCATGTAAATTATATATAAACTGTTCTTTTGGTTCTGCCCACCATACTCTGCATCAGTTCATACAACTCTTCCCAGGTTTTCTGAAACCATACCATTCATCCCATCTTACAGCACAGTAGTATTCCATCACATTCCTATGCCATAACTTGTTCAATTATTCTCCCGACTGAAGGCATCCCCTCTGTTTCCAATTCTTCACCATCACAAAAAGAATTGCGAAGTATTTTTGTGCACATAGGTCTTTTTCTTCTTCTTTTTTTTAAAAATCTCTTTGGGGTAAAGATGTAGTAGCAGTATTTCTGGGTCAAAGGGTATGCACAGTTTAATAGCTTTTGGGGCATAATTCCAAATTGCTTTCCAGAATTGTTGGACCAGTTCACACCCCTACAACTGTGCCTTAGCATAGTTATTTTCCCACATCCCCTCCAGCATTTGTTATTTTACGTGTTTGTCGTCTTAGCCAATCTGATGAGTGTGAAGTGGCACCCCAGAGTTGTTTTAACATGTATTTCTCTAATTATTAGTGATTTAAAGCATTTTTACACATGGCTAGAGATGGCTTGGAATTCTTTCTCTGAAAATTGCCTATTCATATTGTTTGCCCATTTATATATTATCTCCATCTAAACAGCCATTTAATGGGACTTATAAGACAGTACCCAGCAGGAAAACTTCCTTGATCCCTTCAGCTTCTTCAGGGTGGGGACCAGGTGTTGTTTCTCTGGAGGCCTGCCAGTGGAGATTCTGGAGCAGTGTCTACCACGGGGCTAATTGGCAAATGCTTATTAAATTGAGCCTGGTGTTTCCTATTCCATTTTTTTTTAATAGCACAGTAACCTGATACTTCTGCTTGTCTTTTCATTTCTGTGGAGATCCTTGGGCTTAGGACATGATTCACAGAGACAGAATCTGGCAGAGAAAATTCTGATATGGGAAATTCATCTTTCCTTCATCTGGGTTTGCAATGAGCTTCTCATTTTTCTATGTGACAGGACAGAAGTTATTCAGTAGGAAAGAAAGATACTCTCTCTACTTTGTGAGAAGTTAGTTGTTTTTTTTTAAATTGTTCTTTTCTTTCTGAACCAACACCAAAAAAAACATTTCCATATACAAAATAAAACATAAAAAGCAAATTATGGATGAAACTGTGAATCTCTATTATATAGAGCTTGCATTCCCTTTTAAGGACATAATAGATTC